GAGTCCTTTGGCTGGGGAAGAGTTTAACAGTGATGCTAGACCCTGTCCTGCTCATCAGAGGGACAAAGATTCCGTGGGGGTTGTGCTTCAATTAGGATTGCCTTTGCACCTAGAGTCTCTTCAAAAGGTAACCTCGTAACAAGAATAACAAGTTCCCTCATGTACTTGCTTTTCCCTTGACCTGATGCACATTTGTGCACATTCCTTCTTCCTCACCACAATGATGCCAATGCAAGGCAAGCGGTATGCCCATTTTATAGATGAAGACACTGAGGCTGAAATATAAGCAACTTCCCCAAGGACCTGCAGACATTAAGCATGCAACCAGGACAAATCTCAAATGCACTGTGCTAAATGGAAGAAGCCAGACTCAGAAGGCCACATCTGGTATGATTCCATTTATATGACTTTCTAGAAAAGGCAAAACTATAGAGACAGAATAGATCAAGGGTTGCCAGAAGCTGGGGGCTGCGGGGAGGAGATGAATATAAAAAGCACAAAGGGATTTGGGGGTGACAGGGCTGTTCTCTACCTTGATTGTTGTGATGATGCATGACTGTATGCATCCTTCAAACCTCAAAGAACTTGAACTAAAAAAGATTATTGTTATGTAAATTATACTTTGGTAAACCGGGGCAGAAAAATGGAGCCAGGGGTAGGGCCAGGGTCTTTTGATTCTGAATACCATATTCTTCTGTCTACATCCTGCAGGTGGCCAAGGACCAAAGGAGAGCATGACATTGTTTGGTTGTGGGTTGGGGCCACTCTCTGCCTAAATTCTCCACTGACCCTGTTGCCTATACCCTGAGAGGACCCTATGGAACCAGACTGGATGGAGCAGAGCTGGCTTCTGGTCCCAGCTCCATCAACCCAAAGGATCCTAACAAATCAAGTAAACAACCTCCAAATGAGTGTTGGTCAAGGATTAGGCCACTGCTCTGCCATTTCATAGCTGTCTGACCTTGGGAAAGTTCAACTTCTCTGAGCCATCTGTAAAATGAGAGCTTGGAATAGAAGATCTTAAGTTCCCTTCCAGGTCACACGTGACATTCTCTAATTTTTCAACCTCACACTCTTCTAAGATTCTACTTTCTCAGTTATTAAAACAAACCAACAAACAAATAAACGAATAACAGCCAGTACCCACTTCCTGTAAATATCCCAGAAACTTGAGTGTACATTAGCAAAGGGCACCCATGATATTTATTTTGCTCCTTAAAGAAAGCCGACTGCAAGTCTACTGTGACACTGATGGGCAGAAATAAGAGCAGCATGTAGGGAGTGTTACAGCTCTATTATGTTTAGATGTCCCATACGTTTGAGGCCTTGCCATGTATTGAGCAAATCAAATGTCAGAACGCATGGTGTTGGTATGGAAACACTTATACGGGAATGATTTTATTAATCTGATGCTGTGCTAGAATCTTAAAATTTGTTAATCCCTCCCATGGTGGCAATAACAACAATACTGATAATAATAACAACTAACATTTATTGCTTACAATACGGCAGGCACAGTTTAGCCACTTTATATGTATTAGTTGATTCAATCTTCACAACATTTCTGTGAGGGGGTACTTCTCTGATCCCCATTTTCGAATGAAGAATGGTAGCGGCAAAAGTCTATTGAGGACCTACTACGTGCTCAGCGTAGGTGTGTTAGTCAGTGCAAATCTACTAAGCAGTGTACATAAATGATCACATTTAATCCAATACATAACCTATGAGATAGCTCCACCCTGAGCCCCATGTCTAGGTGAGAAAACGAAGGCGCAGAGTTCAGGCAACGGACCTGAGCTTATCCACCTGGAAAAGAACTACGTATCTCCAGAGCACGTGCTCTCGGCCTCCGCGCTGCGCTGCCTCCTCGTGGAGGACGTCAGTACATACTGATGACGATTTGACTCCCAGCGCACCAGCACCAGACTTTTCCTGGTGAGGACATCCTCGTGATTTCTCTGGAGCAGAGGAAAGAGTCTTCTTAGGTCTCTTCCTAAAGTCTCTCCTGGTTGAGGTCCAAAGCCTGGGAGAAACCTGGCCCCAGCTGACAGCAGCAGCCAGGTGCAGACTGCGCCCCTGTCAGTGGTAAGGTAGCTTCCACGCATCCCCAGGGACGTCTCTTCCCAGTGCGCTTGCCCACTCTGATCCATCAGGTCCCCACTGAAATCTAAGGAACTTTTAACCAACCAGTTATAAATGGAAAACCAGTCACTTCCCCAGCTCATTAACTCCATCTGGGAGGAATCATGCGAGATGGATAAATGTTGGGTTGACTATTTATTATAACTAATACAAACTTCTAATACTAATAACATCTATTAGTTGATGGTCTATTAACCATCATAAAATATATACTTCCTGTGTTAAGGTCAGCTCTGATACAGAACTCCAGGTTTTAGCCCAGATTCTGAATACTGAGCGGTATTCATATCATTTAATTGCTAAAATGTGGTCCGTGTGTAAATATTTCAAAATGGATATGCCCCCCAGATGTCTTCAGGAAAGGGAGCTGGCCTATGGAGAAGGAAATTTATGCTTCCTATACCCCAGCCCAGCTTTTCCATAGATCACAGCCACAGCTGGAGGCAGGGACACAAACCAAGGCAGTCTGAGCCCCTAAGCTTGTGAGATGTTCTTCAACTCATTCAACAGAGACCCCTTCCAGTAGATGCCAAGAGAAGTTCAAGTTTCTTTTCTGCAGACTAAAACGCTAGCTAACGTGGTGTAGCTAAGAGGGTCGGCTCTGTGGACAACACACATGGATTCTAATCTGGGCTCTGCCCCCATGGCCTGTGTGGTCTGGGGCAGTTTTCACGGCCACCGTGGAGGATAATGGTGTGCCTGGGGCATAGGTGGGAGGCCGAAATGAGGAACATTGCTCAGCAATGTATCAGATGCAGAGTAAGCACTTATAGACATTAGTATTATTGACGTCAAATCCTTCAAAAGTTCTACCCTACAAGTTTCTTATTTTAAACTTTCCTTCACTCCCAATGACATATTTTGACGCCACTTCTCACTGTACTCGAAAGACAAGCCTTGCCTGTGTCCCAATTGCTCTTTTGTTTATCTAAATCTGTCATTCTCAATCCTGTCAGTCCCACAAGACCCAGGTTTATAGCAAACATTTTGTATTGAAAATTCAAACATAGTATGCCCTACCTTACATAATTTCAAAAAAATTAATGTCCTATCTAGAATATCAAGAAAGAAGATAATTTGTACTGAAACAAAATGAATTTCAGTATATAAGTACTTCTGATACAGTGACATTAAAAGAATGAAGTAAAATGATGCAATCAAATGTTTGAAACTACTTCTCATGAATGAGTTTGGAGAAATAAGAAAATATTCAACAAACATTTCAGGTATTTTCCTTTATACTGACATTTTGAATCCAGGGTTATCAAAGTCAAGTAATTTGCATTCTCAGAGTCAGCCTAATTGCAATAGCTCCAAATGCAGACCATTAGAGGTGTGTGTGGGGGTGACTCAAATACTGAAAGCAGCATTGCTATCAATGGCATGACTTTCCAAAATGGGAAACCACTCTTGGTAAAACCTGCAAATAAATCAAAAGGCAATCTTCCTTCAAAAACATGGCAGTTGCATTCCTGGGAAGTATAGTTGAAGTATACAAAAAATACTTCTGTGATTCAGCATTTATATTTAAATTAGAATTAGCTCCTAGTCTCAGATCATTAAAAATGGTTTTTTTGTCTACATGAATGTGTGGCCAGGCATTCAGGAGTCAAGCAGAATGCATGAGGATTCATTTCGTGGGACTATCCACGCACTACAGGGATGTCTAACGTCCTTGGCACCTACCCACTGAATGCCAGCAGTAACCTCCAGTGGTGACACCAAAACCACCCTCACTGTTCTCTAAAATGTCCCTAGGGGGCAGCACTTCCCCCATGGAGAACCACTCATCTAAGGCCAAAAGATTATGCAGATAAATCGAATCGAAACTTCTAGATGTATTTGCTCCCCCCCCCTTTTTTTTAACTGAAGTACGGTCAGTTACAATGTGTCAGTTTCTGGTGTGCAACACAATGTCCCAGTCACGCATTTACAAACATATTCATTTTCTGTATTTGCTCCTGACCTACTGCTAAGATCCTAATGCCAAGGAAGGAGGTCACGTGGAGGCTTCTACGTGCAATCTTTATGGTATTTGGTGATAAAGCTGAAGTATATTCTCCTCAATAGTGGTTTGAACTGTGTGCATCTTATACACACACACGAAGAGGCATAGAACACATTCTACCCAGTGATCGTCTTTCTAAACATCAACCAGTGAGCTTCTTCTTGCCCAAGTGGCAGTTTACTCAGTTCCATTAAGCTCCTTCTACTTAAAAGTAATAAATAAAGACCCTGATGCTAAGTGAAATAAGCCAGACAAAGACACCATATAATTTCACTCATGTGTGGAATATAAAATGCTAATAAGCAAACAAACAAAATGACACAACAAACAAACCCAACAAAAATAACACGTAGGTGCAGAGAACAGAATACTGGTTATCAGAGGGGAAGGGACCAGGAAGACGGTGAAATGAGTAAAACAATCAACTGTATGGTGATGGATGGAAAATACCTTTTGGTGGTGAGCACACTGTAGGGAAGGGAGAAGGAGAAATATAATGCACATAGGAAACATATAATATCATAAATCAATGTTACCTCAATCTAAAAAAAAAGAAAGAAAATTTTAAAAATATTATTAAAGGACATACAATTCGATTGGATTAAAATATTAGTATTTAAATAAGTAATAATCAGAAACAGGATAGACAAATAAATAAAAAATAAAAAAAACAATGTCCAGGATTATGGATCTCAGAACTCAAATGACAGACTCTGGTCCTTGGCCCCCAGTGCCACATAGTGTGCCTCACATTACCACCGGAAAATGTTCGTTAAGGGGCCATGGCCATCACCGGCTCTGAGCAGTTCTTGGACTACAGCTGTAAGGTCTCAGAAGTCCTGGTAGAGATGCTGCTTAGTTCTGGGAAAGTGCTTTTTCACAGACTTCTCTACATAACACTCTACTGGTGGAGGCTCTGAGTCCTCACTTTCCTTGGCCTTAATTGAGTAAATCACTTTACCTGGCCATATGATTAAGAGGCTCATTTTAACTCAGTATTTTGGCCTTACCTTGCCCTCTCAACTAGATCCCCAGAGAAGAAAGAGTTAAATCATTATGATCTTACCTAATCTTCCAAGAGACATAAATTGAGCACCTTCTAGGTGCCACTCATCACACTAGATTCTGGGGATACACTGACAGTAAGATACAAGCCCTGCCCTAGATGGCGCACAGACTTGCTCGAGGAAAAGACCCGGACGTGCATGAATTGCAAGCACAGCTGTAAGCACAATCTCGGGAGTCTGAATGAAGGGATCCCAGATGCCACGGATAAAGCAACCAACTCTCCATGCAGTATAATCAATGGGAATTTCGCAGAGAGGGTAATTGTTGAACAGGGTCTTAAATGAAGACTTGGAATTTTCCAAGTGAAGGGCATTTCTAGAGAGAATGGCATGCACAAGATGCCCCGGTAGCACTTTATTCAAGCCTCCAAGACAGTATTGCTAAGTCCTATAGTTTACCCACGTTTATGCCTCTCTTCCCAATGACCCTGCAGGTGGTGGTGACCCAGATGTCTGAAACAAAACAGGCTCAACTGAAGGACCATGAGAAATTTTGATCGCTGGGGAGAAAAAATTCCTAGAAAGAAGCAAATGGTCCCTCCCTTTCCTCATCTTCCTGTTGAAAAGCCTGGAGCACTTCCCAGCAAACTCAGACCAGAAAGGAAATACAGAGATTGAAACAGTACTCACATTTTTCAAAGATACAATGAAAATAATATTACTTGAATATCAAAAGGCTATCTATCTGTCCCTTATTCTCCTCTCAGCATTAGGTGCAGCCAAGACCACACCTGAAAGAAAAGCAAGTCCACGTGGAGGAAAGGAAACAATTAGCAAACTGAAGACAACCTACAGGATGGGAGAAAATATTTGCAAACTATATCCCTGATAGGGCTTAACATCCAAAACAGACAAGGAACTTGTACAACTCAATAATTGCACAAAAATAAAAACCCTCAAAAAATGAGTCAAGGGCCTGAATAGACATTTTCCCAAAGAAGATATACAAATGTCCAACAGGCATATGAAAAAGTGCTCAATATCACTAACTATCTGGCAGATGCAAACCAAAACTACAGCAAAATATACCTCATACCTGTTGCCATGGCTTTTATCAAAGACAAGAGATAACAAGTGTTGGTGAGGATGTGGAGAAAAAGGTGAGGATATACTGTTGGTGGGAATGTAAATTGGTGCAGCCATTATGGACAATAGTATGGAGGCTCCTTTAAAAATTAAATATAGAGCTACCGATATGAACCAGCAATCCACCTCCTGAGTATATATCCAAAGTAAATGCAGTAAGTATCTCAAAGAGGTACTTGCCCTCTCATGTTCACAGCAGCATTATTCACAATAGCTAAGATATGAAGATAACCTGTGTCCATTGACGGATGAATGGACAAAAAAATGTGAGAAAGAAAGAAAGGTGATAGATGTGTGTGTGTGTGTGTGTGGTGTACAATTCAGCCATGAGAAAGAAGGAAACTCTGCCATTTACAACAACATGGGTGGATGAACCTGGAAGACATTATGCTAAGTGAAAGAAGTCAGACAGAGAAAGACGAACACTCTATGATCTCAGCTTATATATGGAATCTTAAAAAGTCAAATTCATAGAACCAGAGAGTAGACCAGTGGTTGCCAGGGGGTGGGGGAAATGGGAAGATGTTGGTGAAAGGGGACAAGAAAGATGAATAATTTCCATGGATGTAATGTACAGCACGTTGACTATGGTTAATAATACCGTATTGCAAACTCGAACTTACTAAGAGAGTAGATGGTAAGTGTTCTCATCACCTCCCCCCAAAATGGTACCCATGAAATGATGGATGTGTTAATTAACTTGATTGCAAAATCACTTTTCTGTGTATATGCATAATAAGTTACCACACTGTACTAAATATATGCAATTTTTACTTGTCAATTATCCTTCAATAAAGCTGAAAAAATTTTGAAGCATGGCCCAAACCAGAATGTTCTCTGACTTCCTGCCTGACATGAGTTCTCCTGAGAGTGGAGCTGGACCCACATGGTGTCACAGTGGAATGAAGGATAGTTCAAGTGTCAAAAGAAATCTCTACCGACCCACAGGAAAGAGCGCTTTGTTGGGGCAGTGGCACTCACCTCCCAGTGCCCAAGTCGCCCATCCACATGCTCAACACATGCCGTAGTTTGTGAGGAAAAGCCCACCAAGTCTCAGCATGCCAGACAGTCCTCTCTCTTGAGATGTCTTCCCTCCTATGAGCTGCTTAAGTTCGTGGACCTTGTCTTATTCAGCCTGGTGTCCTTACAGCCTAGGACAGAGCATGCACAACAAAATAGGAGCCAAGGTAAAGGTCTGCAGAACTGAGCAGAAATAGAGGCCACGTGCGAGGGGTCTGCTCTGCTGAAGGTGGTGGCGTCTGGTGGCTCCCACCATCAGGCCACCATGACCTGAGCCTGTACTTCCCTCCGGCTGCCTTCCACCTGCCCCGGCCACCTCCTCCCTGGCTGGGCCCAGTGCAGTCCAGCCAGGCCCAGCTTGTGCCCTGTACTCCACACCAACTCGGGCAGCCAGATGAGGAAATGGGTGCAACTCCTGAGCCCTCTAGCTCTGTTGTCAGAATGGCTCTTGTCTGCCTGCTCAGATCTGCACACAGGCACTTGAATTGAAAGGGTATGGTGAGGGGCTTATCCAGCAGGGAAACGAAAGGCCTTTACTTAGCACCTATTAAACTCAAATCCCAGTTTCACTCACCACCAAGTCAGCCTCAGGACCCGCCAAGCCGTTAGGATGTAGGTGAAAGTAAAAGGGTTCAGAGATGACTGAAGTCTCTTCAAGAATCTGAGGGATAATCCTTAAAGGTTATGTAAACAGCCATAACTTTAACCAAAAGTTTTTAAACCCGTGAAGCCAAGCAAAAACAGACTGTAAGACTTTCAGAACCAGAATCTCCGCTGGCCTCTTGTATCAGCCTGCCTTTCACAGACCTGTGAATGAAGAGCCGGCAGCAGGATTTACACAGGAGGCCTGAACTGGTGAAGTACTGTCCAGTGATCAGGGAAAGGGGCCTTGGGAAGAGACTGTATGAGTGTGAATTCTGCTGAGGGCACTTGGACCGGGACGGGCCAGGTTGAGGGGGAGGCAGGGCTAAGACTGAAGACAAGTGAGAAGAATACAAAAAGGAGTGGAGAACGGCTTGGTTTAGCTTCAGGAAGAAATCTGGATGAGAACGTAGTGGATCAAGGCACAAGCTCTGGAGTTGAGATGTGGTTCTGAAGCCTGGCGGCATCATTCACCACCAGCGTGACCTTAGACAAATGTCCTCACCTTCCTGTCTTGATTTCCACTTCTAGAAAGTGGGAAAAAAAAATAGTGCTTGCCCCATAGGTTCTTGTGAGGGTTAAATAAAAGGACGGCGGCAAAGTGCTTGGTTCCCGCCGACATCTAACATGCTCCAGACGAGGGAAGCCGGACCGCCCTGGGCTTTGTCCTGGCTCCACGGGGCGTGAGTGGACAAGGAGGGAGGGGAGACTCGGAAGAGGTCATCCCGTCTCTTGGGAGTGTGTATGAGTGGAGTCAAATGCTAGGATGGGAGGAGGAGAAACAACGAGATCAAAACAAAGGCCGCAGAACTTTGAGTCACTATGTTGAGATGGTGAATAAGGAGAGCTGAGCTAAGAGCCTCCCTCAGAGGAAAGAAAGAGGTCCAGCAGGCCTGGGCTGAACGGCTGGGCTCAGGACATGGAACTCAAGGAGGAAGGAGGGATCCTTGGGACATGAGGATGGGGGCGAGGTGAGAGAATCAAAAGAGGTCCAGGCAGACAAGAGGCAAAAAGGCAGGAAGATCAAAGCCACACTCTAGGTCTTGGCAGCAGGGCCAGGGTCTCAGAGGTCACAGTATTAACAACCAAAGATGCCTGGGCCTGGGACAAGGCAGCTTATTCCGCTATTGTGTGGGCCAGGCTCTCAGATGCATAAGATGGACAAAGAAAATCCCTTACCAAGCATCCCAGGAGGTGCTTTCACAGAGAGACTGAAGAGTTGTCCCTCTCAGACTCAGGGAAGTGCCGTGCTTCAGTCTTTCCCAACTTTGTTCGTTGATTAACTATGTCAAGGAAAGGAATTGCTTGCATCACACACTCACACAGCATACCTCCTCTGCCTTTAAATGATCATCTTCTCTCTTTTTTCGAAAGATGTGGCTCCTTAAGTACTGAACAAGGAAGGAGAATAAGCAAGAGGACCCAGAACTTGGTACCTGGATGAGGTACTAGGTGTTTTCCAGTTCTGTAATGCCAACATCTGATGCACTAGGCAAATATGTAGAAATTTAAAATAAGTCACATTATGGAATTAATTGAGCACCTCCTGTATTTAGAGAACTGCTGGATGAAATGATATGAGAATAACTCAAGTCCCAAGAGAACAACTGCAAAGCAGTGGACCCAAAGGTGCGAGAGAGTACAGCATGGATGACAACACCTGAGTCTTGTCCTCTGCCTTAGAGGGAGGGGGCAGTGGGCACCCACTGAGTCACCACTGGGGAACAGAATTGACTCTGCACTAAGTGTAGTCAGAGCAAAGGAGCCATCAGAGTACAAAATTATTTCTACAATATGTTTCCCCCTCATTATCAACCAGGTCTCAAAGAATGCATAAAGAAAGATCCCTTTACAAAAAAATTTCAGGAAAATAGCAGACTCTATGTCAACATGGTCCTGAATGGAAGCGGTGAGGTGCAGAAGTGAAACGCACGGGCTCTGGAGTTAGATGACTGAGCTCCAAGCCTAGCTCTACTAAATACTAAATCTGTGCCTTCTCTACGCCTCTGTCCCTCATCTACCAAATCAGGAGGGTAACTGTACTTCCCGCATAGGGTGAGAGGCAGATTAAATGAGATAATACATGAACAGAGCCTAGCAGTGTCAGTGTAGAGTGTACATATCCAATATCTGTTAGTATCAATATCACTTGTTGCAATTGGTTAATGCCCCCAATTTCTTACCCTTTCCCTGCTTTTGCCTTTGTAGTACCCTCCCATGCTCGCTTTGGGTTTGGCCAGTGGGACATCAGTGAATGTGACCAAGCAGAGGCTTAGGAAGTGTTTGCATGGTTGGATGTATTCGCTTTCACTGCTCTGCACTGGCCTTGAGAACAGGCCGAGGCTGACCTGCTGGAGGACGAGAACTACGAAACGGGAGTGATCCCAGCCATCCTGGCCAAGGCCATTCTCCATCAGCCAGTATTAGCCAACCCCACACAGGTAAGCAAACCTAACCTAGATCAGCAGAGCACTCGGTCAACCTGCAGCTAACCTCAAATGCATGAGCGAGTCTAGCAGAGATCAAGTAAGTCAAATCGACTAAACCCCGCAAACTCCCGAGCTACATAAACCCATATCGCTGTGTGTCAGTGAGGTTTTGTTTGTTACGATATTGTTTGCTATGTAGCATTACTGTGGCAAAAGATAACTGATACAGTATTATTATTGTTATTATTCTAATCATTACTTCTCAGAGGAGAACAAAAATGTCTGTGCGTGCCCACCGTAGCGGTCACAGCCAAAACATCTTTCTCCCAACCTGCTGTTCTTTCCAGAGAAAGAAGATAAAGTATTAAACAAAACGAGCAGGGGCTGCTGCTTCAGAACTTTTTGCCTTGTTTTCCTGACAGGCTGTTGCTAACGATGCTATTATTTCTCTCGTGAGCGGATACCCATGACAGTATAACCACACAGGCTGCTGTGATGAATTGTTAATTAGTTTAATTAGTGACGAGCCCTTCTTCCATCAACTTAGATTCTAGCCTTACATGTTCCCACAGGGACCGTAGGGTAGGAGGGCCTAAGAAAGCACTTGTCAGGAGACCTTCAAAATCGAAAGTACTGGATGCAACGTGTCCTCGGGGCTTCCTGCCTTCACTTTCAAATAATCACAGGCAGCGCTTACTCTGTGCCAGGCACTAAGCAAGCACTTTTTGTGCATTTTCCCCTTGAGTCTTCACAAAAATCCAAAACGCAGGAACTAGTCTTATCTCCGGTATATGAGAAAGCTGAGGCTTGGAGAAGTAACATCAGTGTTTCCGAGCTCACAGGGGATGGTAAGCGATGTAGCTGGGACTAAAATCCAGGTATGTGTGATTCCATTCTCATGACTGTAATAGATT